ACCTAACAAAATCCAGACAGAGAGCGAAACAAATTAAGTTTGTCCTATGAATATATATCTTTATTTTTTTAATTAATTTATTACTTATTTATGACTTACTCCTCTCATCTATCATTATATATTATCATTTTTAATTTGCCTCATTTTTTCAATAATTTAAAAATTAAAATGAAGAGAACAGCAGGGTGCCATAGAAAAATCATCACCTGTTTGTAGGTAATCTTAAAACTAAAATTTGTCCATGTGAATGAGAGGAATTAAATTAACAAAAATAAACAAAAAATTGGCTAAATAAGCATTTTGTCCTCAGGTATTATTAATCAAGTAGCTGTCTTATCTTGATATAAGTGAAGCATGTTCTGATAAACTTGAAACAGTTTGTCCATTTGTCTGCATGTACACATCCTTCCTTTGACTTTCTGTAACTTTGATCTTTAAATGACTTGTTCACTTAGAGAAAAATTTCACATGGGAACACCATATTTTATTGTACTGAAGTGGTTCATTATAATATCTTGGCTCTGAATCGTGTAAGTCAGTCAGTACTACTATATCGGGCAGTGCATGACTATGGGATTTGAGCAGACATTGAAATGAACACGCCACTTCTAATTAGTTGTCAAATTTTTATATAATTGTAATTGAAAGACAAATGGATTTATATACATGAGATAAGTGTTCTCATAAATCTTTATGTCTGATAAATTCAGTGGAAAGGAAAGAAAACTAAAATGAGACCAGTGGTTTAGTTTTTGATTAGACATTCAACACGTAGGAAACATCATTTATCATTTAGCAACATCAAAAAACATGCAATGAAGCACTGGCCTGACAATATACCAAACTCATATGTAAAGAATTTTAGAGGGAAAAAAATCATACAAAATTGTGGTTTTTAAAATTTAATCAAAGGACATGAGAGAGTCCCAAAAGAATGAAAAATAATCGAAAAATTTAATTAGCATATTGTTTTCTATTTCTCCATGCATGACGGTGATGGCTGATTTTTTCATGTCATGTAGCCAGGTATTGTGATTTAGCTCACACAGTCTATGACTGTCTTAAATAATTAAAACACGCAACACAGTTGTCAAGAGTCTACGAGTTTAAATGTCGCACACTGTGCCTACATACTTATCATATACTATTAAACAAATACAATACTCTCTTCAGTTCCGCTGCAGAAAAGGATTACAAGAAATCAGAGAGGGGTTATAAGTCAGTGTATATATGATCACTCTTGTCTATAGGTTAACGTGGTAGGCCACCCTTAAAGTTGCCATAGATTATCATGTAGCGATAATCTACTTAATTGCTGATATTTTGCTTTGGAGGAATTTGAGATTTTTGCTTCTTTTTTCCATACTGTATATCAGAAAAGGTCTGAAGGAATTTTTATGGTATACCCTGGGTGGTAGGGGAGATAAGTTATGATAGTTTACAAAAGCTGGAAAAATACCTTCAGTTCTGCTTCAAAACATTAAAGGACATTTTCATGATATACCTATAGATAACATTAGAGGGCCACAAAAGCTTGTACGGTAAGGGAGTAAGTCCTGTCTATAAATAAGTATGATGTATTACAGGTACAGGATATGAGGACCTAAACATCATACATCACAGGTTCATTATGACAAGGCAGGCAAATTACAGGCTGTGTGCCTGATTATGGTTTCCCTGTCACTAATAATTAACTATGGCCCATGTTTTTATGCTGAGTGGTCAAGATATGTGAATGGAATAAGGATCATAAGCCTTTTCATTCACACAACTGGTGTTGCAATTAAACAGATGTTGCTAAACGATATGACAGGAATAAATCAATTTAAAGATAAATTATGAATGTAATAATTATATTACAAAAGAAGGGCATTTTTTACATCTTCAATCTTAAAAATCTTCATTTTAAGGTTCATAAACCCTCTGATCACTCATATAAGATGTTGCTTGAACCTTAATGATTTTCCAAAAGAAATGTATTTTATAAGTAAAACAAACAATTATAGCATAGCTTGCAGGGCAAAATTGGACAAAAAAGACACTTCAACTTGGCAAATCTATAAAGAAATAATAAACATTTATGTCATTAAGAGTTATCTCTCTTATCAGAGTATCAATGTACCTTAAAGTAAATTAAGTGAAGTCATTTGCAAAGAAACCTACGTATAACAGATCTTTGGCTAAAATTATATTAACTTTCCTTATAGTGCTATTTTACAAATATAGATTGTGTTTTATATAGGTCATAACGGGCGAAGCCCATTATGCTTCCCATTGTGAAATAAAATTATAATTGTAGCCTTATATGAAGCATAGTCCTCGCCAATCGACGTCAAACACAAAGGGGAAAAATATTTTAGCCTAGAAAAAAATGAGGATTGTGTTTTATATTCATTATCTGAAATATTTTAGCCTAGATGAGGACTTCATTATCTGTCGATTCAGAGTTGCCAGTTTCTATAGTGACATTTCTGGGGTATTCATCTTTCAGATTATAAATAAAGTCAACAGACTTTGGATGACTAAGCATCACAGGGGAATTCTCTAAATGTCAATTTTATGACTTTTTTTTTCATCCCAGCAGATCATGTTTGCTTATAAATCTGTATACAGTATTTCGAGAAAATTCAACATGAAAAAACTGTTTTAATAGCAAACCCTTTTTCACAAGGCTGCTCTGGGAAAAACACATTGTTTTTCATGCCCATTATAACAATAGTAATCAATAAGTATTGATCAAATGCCTGGTAGTCTCATAAAATTGAATTAACATGAGGATAAGAACTGTGCACAAAATATAAACTTAACATCTTGTTCCCTGGGTCTTGAAGAACTTCATATATAAGATAATCACATTACGAAAACAAAAACGAACTAGGTGTTTTACGAGACCTTTTTCATTACCAAAACAGGTTCTCATATCAGGAGTTCTTCCCTATTGGGAGACTTGCGTAACCTGCAGCAGCTACCAGCTAGATTAATCGGCTATGGAGACTTTAAATTAATGATCTAGTCACCTATCAGAAATTTTAACTTATCAATCCTTCTGCTTTAGGTTTCCTTTACAGGATCAACATCTCTGTAGATTGGTGAAGCTCTCCTGGTAATTAGTCTGTGATTAGAAAGAGACAGGGGTTCACTAGTACTACTGGGAGCCTAATTAAAAGTCTTATTTTCCGACAGATTCTCTGTTAGTCTCTGACATGCTCCCACAAAGTCAAGATTTACTATTCTATGCACTTTTTTATTTATGTAAAACCATGACAGTTTATACACTTTGAACAGTTAGGATACAAAAACTCTTTACAATAAAACAAAACTGAAAAAAAACAAAATTGCTTTTTAATGATAATTGTTTCACAGTTCTATATACCTCTGTATTTCTCTTTGCAAGACACCAAAAAAAGAGCATGCTGCAGGAAATGTGAATGGTACAGTAGTCTAGCTGCTTGTATGATTTTCTCATGCTAATTCCGATTTGGCTTCCAGCGTAACTCTGTGTTTTGCAGCTGCGTACACTCGGCCTAATGAGAACCTAGGAACTCTCAGGAACTGTTCCTAGTTCTGTGACAGGAGGTAACTGTCACATTTACAGATGGCTTTTTTCATAGTTTATTTCTCTTGGAGATGTATTTATAAATGTATTTGTACAGAAGATTTTTACATGCTTTTCTTGCTTATTCTTGAAGTTGGGATTTTTCATTCTGGGTGCTTATAATATAATCAAAGAAATCCAAAATTGTGCTTAATTAAGCCTTATATTTTTTATGCACAATTTTGGATTTCTTTGATTTTTGGGTTTTATTTAAAGAGTGTGATTTCTGAGAAGTGATTTCACATTTTAGTTTCATTTACAACTATGATTTGTCAGATATGTAGATCATTAATATTTCCCTCCAAATTTCTTATTGTTTATAATTTATCAGTGGAAAATGACAATTACATACCAACTTTGCATTTTCTAACAATAGCAGCCATTGTACCATTTGGACACAGAAGAACATGGGCATGCAAGACCTTGGATACAACATGGTGGGCAATGCAATTGGCCATGGGAGATCTACATTGTTCATTTTTACAGATTTAAATCTACTCCAAAGTATAATTTTCTTTTATCCAGTCATTAATTTGTTTAGCTCAACTTTCCTACCAAAATTCTGTATTTGCAAAAACTGAAAACAGTTATTATCATCATCTCAATTGTTTATAATACTTAGTTACTGGTATACTCTTCATAGAATCAACCTGCTTCTAGGGGACCATTGTTCTAGGATTTCATGGGTTATGCATAAACCCACAAATTAACATCCCCATGAACCTACAACTTTGTCAAAGCCTGAACTTATATCGATAACAAGTTCTTCTGTAGAGTTATTTACAAAATTATTTCCCGCTAACCAGCAAAATTTTCTGTACCCATGAACATTGACCCTAACAAATTAAAATTATTCCATTCTGTCTAGAACTGGGCAGCAGTAATCAGACAATGATATTATCAATGACGTTATAAACCATTTACTTATTTATTCCTTTATGAGGTGTCAAGGACATTATACACATATTCACTTATTCCTTTATGAGGTGTCAAGATGTACCCTGGTATTCCATGGAAATCTTAATGAAGACACTCTCTGCATACCATTACCCCTCTTATTAATTAGGAGGACTGGATTCCCTCAGTGTTTATTGACAAACCATTGACCTCCATTTTATATGGGTCCTGGTGATAAACCCATACAACACCTGTCAGGGGATTAATCTTTATCTCTTTATTATCAATCTTGTCTCATCTACACATCAAATTTACATATACACCTTATCCGGTTTATATCAAAAGACCATCAGATTACATGTACATGGGTTATAGATGCAAAACTTTCAGTAGGTTAATTAATGCATGCACATTCAGCATTTTGTCCAGGAATGCAAGTCTTCAGATTTTGTTGAGGATATGCTGGTAATGAAATTTAAATATTGGCAGCTTTTTTTAAATTCTTTACCTGTGTGCAACTCCCCTTTCGTGAAGATAGTGCACTGCAGATACAAGTTGTCTGAAGAAGTCTCGAGCTTTGTCCTCAGGTAAATATAATTGTTTGAAGGTTCTGATAAACGTCATTAAATCTCCACCCAAGGCACACTCCAGAACCAAACAGTACAGAGTGGTGGCCTGCAAAACAGACAAAGCAGTCATAAAATTCTCAATAAAATATATTAATTTTAAATTTTAAAAATATCATTAAACTTTAATACAATTGTGTTATAAATACAGGTACTAATATTTGTGTTACAAGAGGATCATTAATAAATGCTTATCAACAAAGACAGAAATATTTTGAACCTTAAACTAAAAACAGGAATATTTTTACAAACAAATTCTTCAAAAGCAGTAGAGCAGCAGTAAAAATATTGAAAACTTCATCAGATTTTCTTTTTAAATTATATAGACACTATGTGATGCAAAACAAAGGAACACATTAATAGGCAGCAATAGGGTTTCTGCTATAAAAGCATTTCCAATAAATCAGATGATATTTTATTGGAAACCACATTATAACACATAAAAGGTTTGTAAAGTGAGAAATTATTCAATAACCGATTATTTTCAATCTTAGACTCTGCTTGCATGCCATAATAATTGATGGAAGTATGCACATCTGCTAGATGGTCCCTTGATTGCTGGTCTAGGTTCTAAATGCTCTTTGCTTTCATGCTGGCATGGAAAATTAGTTACATCCCCTGGTGTACATGAATTCTTCATTTGACGAATCTAAAGAGGAGAATGGTGTGCCCTAGATGGGGATAATAATTCAGAATTTGAGGTCACAGGGTCTGTTTATCTTCATGCCAATTTATGTTGCCATCCACCATGCTTTACACACATATATCATTTCAGGCTCAAGTCATCTTATCCAGAATTCAATTTCCATTTGCCTTACTGAATGTGCTGTTTGCCATGTTTACCAAATCAGCTGCACTTGTAGACTAAGATAGCTGGTCTCTGAAGTCGTTTGATGATGATTGTTTATCATCGTTATGGAAAATCATTCCCAATCAGCCTCAGTGGTCTCCCCTTTCCTTGCTTAAACTTATCAAAAGCCAATCTTCATGTGCCATAAAAGAATTTCTTTTATCTGACCTATTGCAGTTGACCTAAATGAAGGATTTAGAAGGAAAAGGACTAGTAAATAGTTCCATATTAAAACCTACTTCAAAAGCCAAGGTCAAGGTCATGTAAAAAAGGTTAAAATTTTTGCTTGATGGTAACCTAATTTAAAAGAAATACATATTTCATATTCTTATATTATTTAAATAAAAAAAGAAAGAAACGTGCGCAGAAGAAGCAATTTAAAAACATTCAATATTTGTTCAACTTTACACATAGAGCAATTAATGCTCTTCAACATGGTCATTGACTTGGTGATTTAAAATTTTCCTTGGAACCTTTTTTTAATTATCTTAATAATACAGAACATCACGTCTGTTTAGACAGTCAGTCACCTGAAATGTTATTTTATTTTCTTTTTTGCCAAACCTTCTTAATACCTCTCTGTTAATAACATCCCATTAAAAAGAATCGGTGTTCTCAACGTCAGACACTAGTTTCTTCTTATAGCATTGTTCACAATACATGTCATCTACGTAACTAAGAGATTTCAAAGCAAATTAACAGTGAACTTGCACTTCTCATTAACATGTGTCAAAATCTGAAGAATGCCTATCAAATAAAATTAATTCATTTTTGACGTATTGAACAAATACAGGATAAGAAAGGAAATTACTTTTCACCATAAAAAAAAATCCACCAAGTCTATCATGACAAACAGAGTTCTCAAATGGATGACATTTTGTAAGATGTTTGGGAGAGAAATTGCAGTATGTTCCAGTAAAAATTCAATACTGCTTACACTGAATCATGGCCGAGGTGGATAAACCAACAAAGAGGTTGTTAATCAGATTAAAGACGGTCTCCACTGAGATTCTCGCTGATGATGTCATAGGGAAACATGGCTCCAATACTCCAGCCTCCTTCAGAAGACGTCAGCCATTGATAATTCAAGACTCGCGCTCTCCCTTTTACAATTCTGTATTTCATTACTTCTTATAAGCATTTATTTTGGTCTAAAACTCTTTGAATAATTCTAATATTTCTACTGACAGCATCAGTTTTAATCAAAGCTTTGAGAAGGTTTAGATTTTCTTATGTACGGTACAGGTATATCAAATGAAGCCCAAGTACCTTTAAATTTCAAGCATATAAAATTTCTATTCTAAAACAATTAAACTTGCAGTAAACAACTGTTCATACATGGGAAATTTGAAGGAAAATTTTTTTTAAATCCTTTACCAACAACTGAACATATTGGATCTTAGTTAAAAATCTAAACTAATAACTGATTATTGGTCTGAAGTATTGATAATCATGTTAATTGTAAACATGAGTGAACAAGAAGTGTAAAATGTATGCTGCACACCAGGTTTGTCAAGACTTTTGAGACAGTATATAAAGTACAGTTATGATGCAACATAAGGGCATGAATAAATAAGGCAATTTAGTAAATGAAAACAGAGATCAAGATAGAAGTTACATGTTCATTATGAGAGGTTGCTTGGAGGCCAAATCCCATTAATTGACCAAATTCAAAGATGGACGGACTTTACAAATTTCAACAATATGAAATATGATATCAAAAAACATAAAAAATGCTCTAAATTCGATAAAAATACAGGTGTTTGGACATAAATATTCCAGAAAGTTATCATCTACTACAAAGAAGACAAGAGATAAAATCAGATTTCCAAAATTATAGCAGTAAACGTATCAATTTAGATGACTAACATTAAACTACCACAGTGGCACTGCCCTGGAATTCAATGGACAGCACATGAAGCATGCTAGACTGAATTATGTTTTTCTAATTGACCACAAAAGTAAAGATGAAAAACGCCTTTTAAACACGAGATTTTTGTGTACCTAAAATGGAGAATTACAATAGGCATTTTTCTTGGTGAAATGTTCAAAGTGTCATCGTATAGGTTTATCTAAGGGTATGGAATTGGTCGTATAATTGAAAAAATAGCTTAGCAGCTGACGCTCACTGAAGAAAATACTGTTTTTTAACTCGACAAAACATTTAGCAATTTAACTGTTGTATTTTGTTAAGAGGTCATGTAAAATATAAGAACTAAGGGCCAATATTAGGAGGGGGTGCATCAAAAACAAGATATTTCTATAAAAGGTATATGAAGACTTTTTGAGGGAACAGAGGGATTTTGCTGCCACCTCATTCCCTGGACCACATATAAGACTGGAAGGACACTTGACGTTAGGAGCGATATTTGACAAGTAGAGACTTCGCTGTGGGGGTAGACGTCTGATAAAGAAGAAACATCTTAATTGATAACAACAACTCCAGACATAATATAAAGGAAAACCCCAATATGGAACCCATCCAAATCTGAGTACAAGTTTAAGGCATACAGGGCAGCCATGTGAGGATAAATGTTTATAATAGGGTCAGTTCAGGTAACTTAACTCTTGTGTATGTAAAATTTTAGGCAGCTTGGATAAAAGTCAATTTACCAACCTTGACAAAGAATTAAGTGTTGTGTTTGGTTTAAACTCTTCAAGCTTGAACATTTTTGTCTGAACTGTTTCTCCTTTCAATATTTGTAGGTCAAGAAAATGAGAGTAAGGAAAACTTGTACAGAGTGGGTAGACAGACAGACCAAGAGGGGCAGTACGCAGGGTGTTAAATCTCCCAGGTTAACACTTACAAGTAATGCTTTCATCCACAAAGGAAAAACTCAAAGAATACATGTATTAGGTTTAGGGTAATAAAAGAGCATGGGGATAGACTTTGATCCTTTTAATTGTGTCAACATTAGGTAGAGAGACTTGCATTGTCACAGCGCACAGCAGTGAATGCAGAGCTTACTAACAAGGCATAATCAAGGGCTTATTTAATTGTCACTTTGTGTGTCAATTATGTCTCCCTCAGACACCATTGTAACAGTTTGTCTCAACTCAGTTAACTCAGCCTGTCTTACAAATAGGTTGAATGTGCTTATGTAGCAGTGCTTTCACGATTTTTAATAAATTTGAAATATATTGGTAAATTGAGAATGGGAAGGGATTTTTTATATGACAAAAGAGAAACTAAATTTTAATAAGTGGAAATTCAAGCCCTATGCAATTTCAGTCTCTATTAATTTTGTCACATATGTCATTGAGTTTTTTCTTTTTTGCATTTTTGTCTTAAAAATGATTTCCCCCTGAATCCCGTCAATCCTAAGTATTAAAACAAATACAGATTAGTCTACATGCATCTGACAATGTCAATTTATCAAACAAAACATATCATGATTTATTTTGAAGGAAAACCACAAATCTTAATTTATGCCCATCATCTTTCATCAACTGAGAATTCTATGTCCAGTTTCTGTATAAGTGAAGAGGACATATATCAAGAGTGCATGCATTCAACAGAAAAAAATAGATTTAAAAATCTACAAGTTGGAATGAAAACATACAGACTCGGGCAAAATTTCAGGCATCTTTGACCACCACGGTCTGTCAAACAAATTTTATGACCCCCACCCCACCCCTTCACTAAATAGGTTCATTCTGTGTCATGCTTTTTTTTAGGAGTGGGTATTACTGTATGGACACCCTCCTCTCAATAAATATAAATACATCTGTCACTGACAACATGTACAAATTTATACAGGTAAGAGAATTGTTTGGTGACGTGGGAGAAATGACGCAGGCATACTAACATTGGTTTACAATCCTAAATTGGCTGAAAGACACATGATAAGTGAAGTCCCTTTGAATTTTGGATCTGTTCATCTTGCCAGTATAACTAGTCTCTGAGGACCTTACCAAGCCAAAGCCTTGTGAATGAGAGACCTTTAACTGATATTACTGCAGCATTGTATGTGATTCTGGTCTGATAAATATTGCATGATGGGAAACTCACTTTTCTGCTGAGGTCCCATAATAAATCCTAGGCATGCTACTGCTTACTACATACCATCAAACAAAAGCGGATTCTTTTTCTCTTCAGTATAAACTACAATAAGCCAAATCAATAAATTTTCCATTATTATTGAAAATCTAACTTCTTGGAGCATATATCCTTTGAGGATACAGGGATGCTTCTAGGG